CGGCTACCAGCACGTATATCAACACACACGTAACACTACTGAACGCACAACCACTAACCCACCGCTACGCACAACTACGCACTGATGATGTCACCTCGATTGGTGATGAAACGTTTGCAACCAAATTGCTCAGCTCAGCGAGCACGCCAACGACCGTCTACGCTACCTTAGCTACCGACATTCCCCTCTATAGAAAACGGGTATTCGTTTATGCTGCAGTTACTTCACTCGGGGAAAACATCCAGCATCACCGACTACGATGGCTCGGTTATGTGCTACACATGCCGAAACACCGTCTATCGAGACGAGTGTTGTTTTCCGTACCTCCTTCAGAATGGCGCAAACCGCGAGTTGGATAGCACATGACTTGGCAGAAGGGTGTTTAAAAAACCACGAAGAATTTGAGTCTTGTTGGTGTTGTACATCTTCCAGGATGGGGTCCCCGTGACAGCTCTTGCTCTTGGCTGGAAAAATTGCAAGAAATGGCGACTGACCGATATCAGTAGCGTTCGTGCTGTCGGTTTCTTCCCAGATTAAGCGCTTGAAGGTATAAACACCTCAGAATGCTTGACATAGGCCAGCACCGGGTTCTTTCCCTCACACACTTTTTCTCTTCTTTTCACTCTATGGCTTTAAGTATAATTTAAAAAAACCTTGTGGCAATACGGCAATGAAGCATCAGCGTCGACACTGATATTGCTGTCCCTGATGATGGTGTTTAGCTTCAGTGTAATTCCTTTTTCTCGCCGTGAATGGCGCATGTTTGAATTTGTTGCTTACGTGTTGATATGGCATGTATCGTCTTCTCTCATGGCTTATGCGACTGCCGAGGTAAGTAGTCCGGGTAACAAGCTCAAGTCCGTCCTCTCGAAGACTCAAGGCTACATAGGACGTGAAAATCTTGGAACAATACTTTGCACAAAATTGCACGCTGAAACAAGAGATCACCTCTGAAATTGTCTTCGGAATGTACACATGAACCAGTGATCTACAAATAACGAAAAGTTGTCCACATAGTCCAATTATGTTGGTCCTTCTTCAGATGTAGTTTCAACTCAGAATTTCGAACGTGCCAATCCATAAACATGGGTTCAAGCCAGTGTGTTTGAATAAAGTTCCAGCAGTGGAGCAAAAGGAAGTGAATGCAACTAAGAAACACTGCGAACGGCGTCAAATTCTTTTCTCACCGGCACTGTTTCTCCTTGAAAGGGACTCCCGTGTGTATCGCTGAAGTATCAGCCGCGTTAGCCTTTGACCGGTTTAATGATCATTTGTATTAATCCATTGCTCAGGAGAGATCCACTTTCCATAGTAGCATGTTATTCGGCGCTTACATTTGTCCACCTTTTTATGTTTCCCAACTGAAGCGACTTGAAAGCTGCACGTTGAAGGTTCAACTTGACGTTTCGTGATTCGGAAAAACTACTGTTTTCCTGACCAAAACGTGACTGATCTTAATCGTAATGCGCTGGCATATTCGTCTCTGGTGACACTTTAATTAGATGCTGATAACGCGACATGAAAGCGCTTACTATCGCCCTGAGTACTGTGGGATCTCCGCGCCTACTTGGATGTGCCCCACACCGTTATGGCTGCAAAAAGTCAAGATATGACACAATCCAGTGGCCTGCTTGCTGTCATTTCCTGGCTGGGTTTTCTAGAAAACACTTGTCTATCGTCGTGTGATGGGTTTGTTTCAGGAGACGTTCGCGAAGGATGCTTGATTGATCTCAGTGGTGGCGTCCGGCTCCTACGTGATACTTGGGTAGGCTAATTTCGGTGGTTTCGGAAAATGCAGGTACCTTGCTGCTGGCCGCTTTTCCTGGGGCCATGTAGATTTCTGCAATAAATTCCCACTCCACTTTTCCTCACGGGTGTGAGGTAGTTAAGCACTGCTTCCGCCACTGACTTATTGCTGTTCATCATGCTGATGATTATCAGAAAACCACTTGCAATGGCTTTCTGATGAGGCTAGTCGAAACCACCAGCCGCTTGGAGCGGATAATGTTGCATTCCAGACTGTTTTCATCAATAGCAGTGTATCAAGATGTGTTAAATCCACCGCATTTCGTGGAATTGAAGTGATACTCGTGTTCGTACACTGGCCTCAGTACTGTCTAAACGAGAGGAAGATTAGAGCCTAGAAACCCGATCGCAAAGTAGCCGGTGGACGCTGGGCAGAAGATTCAACGTAGTTGGTGATGCGGGCGCTATTCTGGAGTTTCTGTCAACAGTGGAAAATTTGGCAGCTGCCCCTGGCTAATCCGAATAATGTGACAAACGAGCTGAAAGCATCTGGCAGAGATGTTTACCTTTCCCTTATTACCGAGCTACTTGTGTGAACAACAAACTGAAAACCATTCTTCGCTTGGCTTTCTCTTTTTATTTTATACCAACCTATTTTAACGGCACTCCCCTGGATTACGTCTTTGAAAAACAAGCTAGTTGGACGACATTCGACATGAAGTGTAGAGGCTTTCCCTTTCGGTTGATCTTAAACTTCATGATTTTGCCAGATGGGGGTCGCCACCGAACTGTCAAACAGGGGTATTTTACTATCGAGTACGCATCTCACAGCTACTATACACAAGTCTAACTTTCGTCACATTTTCAGTCACCTCAAATGACACAAGTCTGTACACCTTCCTTCGACTGTTTTCACACAGTAAATGGCCGGTTGGTTTCGGACTTGTCTCAGGTCCCTAAGGATGCTATCGTGCAGACACATTACCGTCTTCGCGGAGGAAAAGGAGGTAAGCCATAGTGTTTGTCATTTATGAAGTAAATTTTAGGTTTTGGATCCATGTTGAGGGCGATTGGGAGTCAAATTGAGAAGACAACAAATCATGAAATGTGCAGAGATCTATCGGGACGCCGGATGCGTGACGTAAATATGGAGCGTAAACTGAAAGAATGGTATGCCAAAGCGAGTGATCGTGAGCGTGAGAAGATGGAAAAATACTACGAACGCCGTCGAAAACGGCAAGAAATGCTAGCCCAAGGTCCTCTGCCTGGACACAAGTTTTCAGATCGGGAATATGAACGACAGAAACGAAAAATTACTTACGAACTTCAAGGTGCCTTGGACACAGGTAGGTGGTATTCGTTGTGAGTTTTTCTGATGTTCCTCCGCCTTCAGCCATTGCACAAATAATTGGGGAAAAGTCCAATGCCAGTGGCCCTTCAACATCCGGTCCAAGTGAACCTAAGCGGACTAAGTTGTGGATTGAAAGACTTGATGGTGAGACATCGTCAAGTAGTTCTAGTTCTTGTTTGAGTGAGGATGAAGAATTGGAGGAGCGAATTTCACCAATCAAGGATGTTGCACCATCGACAGAGAGGTCCGAACGGTTAGAGGACTCACAGAACATACGCATCGAATCAGTTCAGCTATCACAACAAGCCAACGAGGAAGCGGTCCTGACTGAACAGTCTCAGACGGCTGAATCCTCCGAACGTAAGCCGTGTTTGCTAGTCCAGTGCTAAATAACGTAAATTTTTATTGATTCCCTGGTGTCAGGCAAATGCACATCTGAATCGCTGCCTTTGCAGACAGATTCATGGTGTTCTTTTCTTTCAGATTATGGTACATCCTTGCTTCTGTTTTTGTCTTAGTTGATCTGTTATGAAGTGCTGGGTCCATAAAAATCGGTCCAAGCGCTCTGTTGGTAACGAGGTGATTGTAGTGCAGAGAAGCCTACTTCCTGGAGGACGGATAGTTATTCAGTTCAAATGTCCCAAGCAATAACTAGTGGTTGAACGGTTGTTTGAATATTCCGACAGCTGGGTCATACCAGGTGGGGCGAGATAGCCCAAGTGGTTAGAGCGCGAATTTACTGACCGGAAGGTCCGTGGTTCGAACCCTACCTCTGCCTCTCGACTTCCCCTGTCTAGGCTTGGGCAACCTGGCAGTATCCCAGCCCTCGTGCGACCTTCGGGTGGCATGGCAGTTAGGCAACGAAAGGGTGTTACAGTTGAACGATTTTTTCTTGGAGCTTGCGATCATATATTCCTGAGAACAACCTGGGGGTTTTCATGAAACTGGATAAAACAGGTTTCGTTTACCGTCACGAAGAGACTGGACCTTACCGTGGTGTGGCGGTTTGTGTACCTCGGAGACCCATTGAGCTATACTGGGGGGTGTCCGCGCGACACTCAGAGAGTCTCTCATACCAGGTTGGTCAATGGTTAGAGGTCTGACGAACACGGTCTCCTGGCCCTCCAGGCTGGGGGTTGGAACATGTATGGCGACTTGTTCCGTAGAAAATGCATTTGAATTTCCCCACCAAACACCGCTGCCTTGCGGTTAGGCTTTTGAGCCAAAGGCTTTGGTTGAG